TGGACGTCTCTCTCCGTGAGAGCTTGTAGCTGGCCTCGGGTCATGGACATTTTGGTGATGAACAAGGTTTTTCAATGTCGGAAGAGGAATGATAACGCTGGCAATATCGAATTTGGGTATCTCAATAGAGAAGGAGACTATTTTTTGAGGCGAATGTCTGATGTTGGCAGTGAGGCAGACGGGAGCCTGGGGCAGGCAACATCTGCGCCCTTCAATCATTGAATGGAGGTTGTTGGAGTAGACGTTTTGGAGTTGTAAGCAATCCTCTGTAAGACGCGGACAAATGTAGCCCGTCCCCGTTGAAACAAGCTTCTTGGAGTTTTCTAGCGACAGGAGCTAGTATTCATTCCACGAAACCGCCATGTGGCGCCAAGCCCCAAATATTGAAATCTATTGATATTACCGTTTGCGGACCCAGTACGGCAACGTCTCAACGTTCTGTGTGGCAGGAGCGGTTTTGCAGCAACAAGGCTTTTGTAACGGCCTTATAAGCCGTTTTGCCCGCAGAGACACCTAAATGGTTGTGGCCAGATCACATCCTCAAATCGTGTTGCATGAACGGCATGTTCTTTAACATCAAAGATGTTGGACATCAAGGACACTGGGTGACGAAGTTGAGGATGTTGTTTTAAAGAAGTATCCCTGAAGCTCCCATCCCTGCTCCCCTATATCCAGATAAGATAACGTCTCCTTATCAAGGATGGCGATAAGGATATCGACCTTCCACACCGAATTTCAAGACGTCGTCTCCCAACAAAGCAAGCCATTTGACTAAAATTGAGACACTAATCACCTCAATGAGTGGCTAGCATTCCAGAATTATGTCCTTGAATCCAATCTTGAGGTGGGGACTGGGCCTCTCAGCCGCCGCGGCCGTGGTCGCAATCGCCGTCGTGCGCCTCCAGCAGCCCCTCTTGGGCGACATTGATGACACCCAAACGTATTGCTACCAAGGCGTCCGTACACACGACGAGGACCAGCCGTCAGCCCAGTGCTTTACTGTGGCCGATGGCAAGTTCACCCGTGTATTCCCATGGGATGATGCAAGTTTGACCACCACGGCTGGCTTCGTCATTCCTGGTCTGTGGGATGGCCACGGCCATCTGAGTCAGTATGGCGAGTTTCTCTACTCGGCCGATCTGTTCGGAGCCTCTTCTTTGGATGATGTTCGGGGTCGCTTGAGGGACTACGTCGACAGCCATCCCGATGCCGGCACCAAGAATGAATGGATTCGAGGAATTGGCTGGGATCAGTCGGCGTACGGACGGATGCCGACCGCTGTGAGTCCTCTTCACCCCTCTCTGTCCAGTGATAGTCCTAATTCCCGATCAGAAAGACATTGAGGAAGACGAGCTCCTGAAGGGCAAATACTTCATGCTCGACAGGATAGATGTCCACTGTTCATGGGTGTCACAAGCTGTGCTCGATCTGTTGCCCGCAGATCTCCCAGATGTGCCTGGCGGTGAGATCGTCCGCGAGCCAGGCATGGGCGTCTTTTGTGACAACGCCATGGACCTGATCTACAACTTGTGGCCGAAGCCTGGGTTCGAGAAGAAGCGAGCGTTTATTGCCGCCGCCATGACCAAGCTGAATGAGGTCGGTCTGGTCGGTATGCATGATGCCGGCGTCTTTCCGGAAGAGCTCGACCTGTACACCGATATGGCAGGCACGGATGACTGGACTGTCCGTGTATATGCCATGTTGGAATGTGCTCAGCGTAATACTTTCTGTCCCGAGGACGCTGCTCGGGTGTTCCGTGAGGATGACTCGTTCAGCGTCAAGTCCGTCAAGCTTTTTGCAGGTATGTTTTGTGAAATGTTTGACATGAAAAGGTCCACTGAGACTAACGTTTTCCAGACGGCGCTCTTGGAAGTTGGGGAAGTGCCATGATCGAACCATACAGTGATCGTCCCGATACCGCCGGCTCTCTTCTTGTCAACGGATCGACTTTGAAACAGCTTGGAAGGTCCTGGGCATCCGTCGGATACCAGGTCAACATCCACGCCATCGGTGACCTGGCAAACCGCTACGCCGTCGACGCCCTCGAGGCTGGCTTGCGAGACGTATGCCCCGATGAGAAACTTGTAGATTGCCAGGCTCGACGACGTTTCCGCATTGAGCATTCGCAAATCATCCACGAGGATGACCAGAAGAGGATCCATGACATCGGTATTATACCATCCATACAACCGACACATGCAACATCCGATATGAAGTACGCCGAACTACGACTTGGGGCAGAGCGCACCAAAAAAGAGGCGTACCGGATGCGGTCACTCCTGGACGTCCACCCGATCCTAGGCAGCGACTTCCCCGTCGAGCCGCCCAACCCCTTCCAGGGTATCTATGCTGCCGTTGCCCGCAAGAGCCCCCATACGGGTTATGGCGTCAACGGAAGTGAAAATGGCTGGCATACCGAGGAGGCTCTAAGTTTGAACGAAGCACTGCTCGGATTCACCAAGGGCCCGGCCTACGGTGCCTTCATGGAAGGACGAGCCGGCCTCATCAAGGAGGGCGCGCTGGCTGATTGGGTCGTGCTGGACCAGCCTCTGGAGGACTTGGACCTTGACGAGCTGCGGGAGCTTAAAGTCAAGGAGACCTGGGTGGGCGGGAAACAAGTCTACGCGCGGGACTATGAGTGACGGGCTACCAAGGTTCACGATGAATGATTTTTAAAGAGTTCTCTCGGCTTTATTCCATACTCACTCTGACATACTCAAGACCGCTTTTGATAGGGGATTTGCCTACGCTAACGAGTTTTTATGCCCAAGAGATATGATTCCATCAACACAACTGAGACCGACCTGTGCTGTTTTCTCATTCCATTCGCTCTAAGCGGATGGATGGCTCTGACAAGCCTACTCGAAAGATAGAAAGGTAGCCAGAGGCATTCGTGACGAAGATTTTTTTAGGTAAGCACCCATCTTATCCCCCGTCCATCTCACGCTCGAGTATGGACAACGAGGCGCGTGTATGACTTGACAGTATCGCACACCCTCCCACCTTTTTCCGCAGTTCTTTCTAAACACGTTTCTTACCGGATATTCTAAGAAAAGCTTCTTCGCGACGGAAACGGCATTTCTGCTATGCCTCTGATCTTTGCTTCTGGTGTTAACACTTCAAAGCAGAACCATCGACGATCCTCAATTATTAGTATTTAAGAGATATATTAGAGAACTCTCCCCATCCACAACGAAATCACCCAAGACGGTACCGAGAAACGGCCACGATGCCGTCAACAATGTCAACCAACAGCGTGACAGCCGCAAGAGCCTGGAACATATACATACTTGTATTCCTGATGCTCATGGTATTCTCAATGACCTTTGGCGCCTCCATGGTGCAGGTTTCCGTCCAAGCATACCTGCGAGAGTCCGTCTGCCGACAACTCTACGGCTTACTCCAGAAAGTCCCCGTCAATGACGTTCTATGTCACGCCGATGCAGTTAACAAGGAATTCGAGTGGACCGAGGTCGTCGTTCTGGTCTGCCAGTCCGCCGGTGGCCTCCTGTCCGCCTATACTATGGGCAAATGGGCCGACGTCAAGGGCCGGCGCGGGGCTTTTGTCTTGAGTGCCTGCCTCTGGGGCCTCTTCTCCGGTATCCTCATCACAATCATTCAGACTTCATCACGCAGCGGCCTTTGTTTCCTCTTCTTCATCATCGGCGCGGCAAAGACGTCCACCGAGGTCGCCATCTTGGCCATGACGAGCGACACCACAAACGACCGGCAGCGCTCGAAACACTTTGGCCTCGTGGTTTCTTCTGCCCTTGCCGGGGTCGTGGTCTCGAACGTCATCCACAGATATGCTCCCCCTCTAGCCCTTGAGTATTCGGCCCTGATTGGCTGCGTCGCCTTCTGCGTCGGCACCTGCTTCATCGTGGCGGTTCCCGAGCCCCTTCGCACGCAGCTCGAGGACTTTAGAGGCGAGCCTCCTCCGGAGATCCTCCCAGCGAACCAAGCCGCCAGGCCGCTTCACCGCGTTCTCTCTGCCCTGGAGATGTTCCGCGGTCTGTCCCTCCTCGCCACCCTCGGCCTCGTCCTCGCGTTGGCAAGAACGGCACCGCCTTCCCTTGATGTCTACTTCGTCGCCAGGTATAGCACGATCACCCATGTTCCCTCCACGACGACTCTCCACGGCGACGTCGTGAGCTACTGGGCTCCGCTCATCGCCATAGTCCTCATCACCTGCCTCCTTCTTCCCTCAATCTACGGCTGCTGCTCCCCATACCGCCGGCGCGTTCCGGGCGACCGCATCGCGCTCCGGGACTACCGCTATCTCCTCCTCTCGTCGGGCCTAGTCATCCTCACCAGCGCCGTAGCCCTGGGAAGACACTACCTCTTCTTCCTCGTCGGCACCCTCTCTGCCGCGACCGTCGCGGCGACCATCCCCGGCCAGTGCTGCTCCCTGATGCTGTACGGGCTCGGCGTGGCCGTGCGCGCAAAGTACGCCGGCAGGCTCTTCGGCCTCGCGGCGATGGCGGAGTGCGCGGCGACCCTGGTCCTCGGCCCGGCGATCGGTCTCGTCACGCGGGACTCGCACTGGGGCGGTGTGGCGGTGGCGGTGGTCTTCTCCGCTTCGGTTGTCGTCTTTGGGGCCGTGTGGTGTGCCCAGGCGGTTTGTCAGGCTCCGACATACGAGAGGCCCGGCGCCGGGGTTGGTGGGATTGAGGCTGGGATCGAGCTTTTGGATGTAGGAGGGCTTGCGGCGCCTCCTCCGGCGTATGCGGCTCACCAGGACGATCGCCCTGCTCCGATGCCGATGCCGATTATTCGCTAGATTCTGCCAAGGTATGTGTGGAGGTCGTGTCAGTCGTTGCTGTAAGACCATCTGGGCATATATGGGTTAGGGGCCTTTGGGAGAAGTGTGATTTGATAAAGCGAAATATGATGGCCGCTAGACAATAGCCATCATCTTTAAGCGTACATCATCATTGATATAGTTTGACAAAAGTATAAGAGGCTTTGGGATGGTTCTCATCAAACAATTTCCAGCAGAACAAGGTCTCAAGCTTGTTAATATAGTTTATGTTCTTTGCCCGTATTCAACCTATAAGGGGTGATTCCTGTCTGACTTGCAAGTGGGTATCAAGTATAAAACAACAGAGACGGACGGAGTGCCTGACAGCACAAATAATCGATAATAGGAACCCCCCCTTTTTTTTCTTTTCTTTTCTTTCTTTCTCTTTTTTCCCGAAAATTACAATGCTCGCTCTCTGCCAAACCTTAGAATCATACGAATGGCTTTTGGCAATATACAACGTCACTGTTAACACGCAAGTCAGCATTCGGCTCGCCATTTTACACTTGCCTTGCGATTCAATACAGCAAGAAGAAGCAGTCTCAAGAGAGGGAGAGAGGGGAGGTGTGAGACTACAAGAAAGGCCAGAAACAACAGGAAAATTTCAACTCACTAATCAACCAAGGCATGAAAAGCAGGCGGGTTGGCCTTCAACTCGTTCCTCACGCCCCTGATTTCCGCTTCGACTTCCTCCCTCGTCCGTCCGAGGACTTCGGTGAACATCTTCATGGAAAAACCCTCCAGACCGTCAATGGTCAGGACCAGATTCATCATGCCCAGGTCCTTATAGTGCTTATCTTTGGCCCACGGCGTCAGCGGCGCCTTGTACTTCTCCGCCGTAACGTTGACGAAGCCAGCCTCCCGGACGCGGCCCTCGTGCCCCGGACCGGGGGTCGGGTCGCGTCCGACGGCCCGGATGGCGCCCAGGAAGGCCTGGTTCCACTTGTACGTGGTGTGGTCCTTTGTGTAGCTGCCGTCCTCGGAGTAGAATTCCGGGTTCATGTCGAGGAACTCGACCCAGCCGCCCGGGTTGAGGTGGCTGGATTTTTGGGCAGTCGTTGTCAGTATCAGTACCCAGGTGCGCGTTCCTGCTCAGAAATGGAACAGGAAATGGAGAGGTGGGATTTTACTTGTAAATGTTGCGAACCAGCTTTGGCCAATCCGTGATGGAGGCTGTCATGTATCGGCACATGATGAAGTCGTACTTTTTGGTCTCGACCCAGGGGCTCTCGACGTCGTCGATCTCGAACCTGACATTAGGAGGAACCCTTTTCATTCCGTCAGCTATAATCAAATAATCAGCGCCCGAGAAAAGAAACAGACTGACCATTGAGGCTGAATGGCGCTCAAGTCATTCCCGTAAACCTATGCCACAATATTAGCCTTCACGATAGGTGAGTAGGGCGGACACAAATCGCAGCTTAGCTTACCTCGGCGCGTTCAAAGATGTCGCCCATCTCAACAGCCCCTGTAATGATTTTGTTTTGTCAACTCCTACCCTTTCCACATCAAAGTTGTCTTTCGAATGGGTTTCCTCATACAAAGTCCAGTACCCGTTCCAATGTCAAGGATCGATTGGATCTTTTCCCAATCGAGAGGAGCATGGAAGAGCTTGCTGCCCGTTGCCTTGACAATCATCGCATGAGCGAGATCTAGTCGGTCCATCTCCTTCTAAAACGTTTTTGGACTCGTTAACCATTTGGCCTTCGACTTGATGATTAGAAACTTGTAACAAACCTCGTCATTGGGGAACTTGTAAGCTGAAATTTCGTGTCAGATCTTGCCGAGAAGACGGCAAAGTGGCAAGAGAAGAGGTTGAAGGACGTACTGCCTGGCCTGTAAGCGTGGTACCGTCGTCCATACTCCACGGGGTAATCAACAACGCTTGATGATAGGGAGGCAGTGAAGTTGGAGCTGGGAGCGTGAGTGTTTGGTCAGTACCGGGCGTTTATTACTCCTTCATAGTATGGGGGCATCGTACATGCGCTCATCAATTGAAGAACCATCGTCAGTTGTCTAGCAGTTTTCCATGTCAGCGATGCAAACAGCGGCCGCTTACAAACCCAGAACAGGTTACTAACATTGCCTTCTTCCTCGGGCTCAAGAGGTGCCGTTACGTTGGGGATTGGAGTTTGTGCCGTTATCGTCGCTGGACTCTCGGCCTGTACAGCGGCTGGAGGTGAACTGGCCATTCCTGTTTCCCGGTTGCTTTCCTCGGCGTACCAATCAATTCAACTTGGCCGAAGAAGAAAGAAAAAAGAAAGTCTTGGCAGAGAAACAGAAAGAGCAAATGGCGATACGCAAAGCTTCAACAACATCCACTCTCTAGGGAGAGAACTGAAGGAGGGAAGGGAGGTTTTTGTAGGCATCTAAGCCGGTCTCCATAGTTAAGCGACATGGATTCGATGAAATGAGAAGGCGAAAAAAAGCTGCGGCAGGCTGCAGAATCTCCAGAACCAACAGAGGGCAACTAAAAGATCCAATTGGCTCTGCCCCGACTCCTCATTCGCGTGTATATGCAAGTCAAACGTTGGTTGACGCGTCTTGTCGTCCAACATCCGACCCATTGCATGTTTGCCAACGCCCTCCCCCCTCCACCCCCTCTCTCTTCCGCCTAGATGGGAAGGCGGTTGTGCCATCCTTGCTTTGACAAATGCGGGTGCTCAATTGACAATCCCCGGCGTTGAGCATTGTTTGCTTCGCAAGTTTTTCGAAATGGGCGGGCTGCTTCTTAATCGAGTCCCTAGGGTAGTCAGACTTGGGAGGGGCCCATTGCATACTTTTGTTTCTGGTGTCCTGATGTTTGACCTTGACTCCATAATGGCCGGCGACATCTCGTCAACGAGATCCGTCGGTGCAGCGTAGACCGTAAGAGCAGTCCCGTCCACGACCCAACAAACTAGCAACACTCGAAAGATCCTCCAGCTCACCGAATAGACACCCCTACCAAGCTCACAGAAACCAAATAACCATCGCTCAAGAAGCCGCTGGCGAGGCCCTCTAATGATCGTTCCTCATCTCTGTCTTCCTTCTTCCTAGCTCCGGAAATAGAAAGAAGCGCAACTGCCCAAGCACGTCTCGTACTGTACCTGACCCTACCCTATAAATCACGCAAAGGTCATATCTACTATAAATACAAGGCCCAGCTGCTCTGAATAGCTTTCACTTTACCTGATGGTAGGCGAAGGTTCCAGGCAGCTGAGGAGATGTGAAATGGGGGAATGTGGGCGCGATCCATACCTCTCAGGGCTTGCGGTCTATAGCCGTGTAAGGGAAGCGGCACTTACACCAGCAGCAAAAGCAACACCATGTACATTCACGTTTGCTCACTTCTCGTCGTCCGGCTAACGTATCTACTTGAACGAATACGGTCTGAGATGGGGGACCCAGGAGGACGGCAAGACGCTAATATAGATCTACTCGTAGACAGCAACTCGTGTCCGTCTGTTGTCTTGACCGACCAAAACCATGGACGAGATCAATGAAGGACCAAACGTCTGTATTCCAAACGAGATAGAGATGAGCTGAAGAGTATCTGTGTCGAGAACCGTGGATCCCATTCTATATTACCTACTCACTTAGTCCCTCTACCATCCTTGTGGATTATCAACCCCGCGTCAACTATCAACGAACAGACTCCCAAAGTATTGTTGGTCTTCAGTTGGTCAGGGGAAATGAAATCACTTTCGCTGTTGCTGTAAACCTGCCAAGGCAAAGATCCTATCACGAAGAGTTTATGTCTTATCGTGACTAGGAGATCCATGATACAAATTGCAATGTATGGAGCATCTCAGGCACTCTTTTCTTCCGCAGACAGTCAGCCCTCTTCGACCAAGGCAGGTTGCCAAGACACCTCGTCATGTCCAGGTACTAATGGAAATGGACCTTGTTACGATGTCAGCATACATCAACCACGAGAGAAGGAGATAAAACTTGAGAATGAAACAGTCACTGGTATGAGTCACTTTATGAAGGGTGGGTTCCGCAAAATAGCGTATGAATTGTCACATTTCTATTCGATGGACATATCGGTAAAGGCGTGAATGGGTTGACGTAAACCCCTATCTTCATTCCATAACCCTTCCGTAAGTAAAAGGTAAATATCCACGACGCCATTGCCTGTCCATAATAATCCTGCCCATCCAAAGTCGTCCCTCGGTCTGGTCCCGTAGGCCTGTTCCGACCGGGTCGTCTAACAAAAGGTAGATACGAGAAAGAAACATGGGAGGTCGTCCCTGATATATAGGCAAGTAAATAGTTGTAAGTAAATCGTGATCAGGGCCGACGCCCATCATGTGGTGGTTTTCTTCTTTTTTTTCATCGCTTTTCATCTTTTCTTAATCTTTCGTGGCGTGTTCATCGCCGAAGGGACTACGTCCCCTCTCGTAAGAACTTGTCCTTTGAGACCGTCTGTCGGGGCCGGCGGCGGCTCGCCTTGTCGCCTCCTCAATCACGGCACTGAGACTGTGGTTGCTGCGAACAGCAGCTGGGGATGGCTCAGGAGGGTCCGAGAAGGGGCCCTGGTCGACTGCCGGGCTTTCATCGATGACAGTCACGGCAGCCGATTCACGGGCGGCCGCGGTGGTGCTGGGTGGTAGAGGTGTGCCTGGTGCCGAGATCTCTTCTGATGTTGATGATGCCTTGGATCCAACGCTGACTTGCTTGGGGCCGTTGCCGTTGCCTACACGGACAACCTGCACTCTCTGGACGGGGGCGGCGGTGGCGGTGTTGGCGTTGTTCAGGAAGGTAGATCCGACGCTGAATGTGCTGTCACGGCTCTTGGGACGGCCAGGAGCGTATTTTTCATAATCGACGCTGGGGACGGGAGGAGTGCTGCTGCCGTTGGTGCCGACACCCATAGACTTAACACTGACCACGGCGGCCTTGGCGCGCATACCGGTCTGAGCGGGTGCTACAACAACCGCATTCTTGCCGTATATGGTGGAGGCGATACTGGGAGCGATGCTAGATCGAGGAGCGTACGATGTTCTCGCGACAGACGTGCGGTCAGAGTAGCCTGAGATGCCAGAGTAGGTGGAGTCGCGCAATTCGCCAGGGACGAAGAAGTGTTGCTCCTCGTACGGTGACGGGCTGCTTGCAGCGGAGTTGGAGGCGTGCATCGGAATAGGGGGAACGGGAGGAACGAGCAGAGTTGGTGACGTAGGAGTAGCTCGGTTCGTGACGCCGGGGATGTAGGCAATCTGGATTATGTTGGAAGCGCGGGTGAGTACTGTTGATGCAATCGAGTGAACGGTGTGTGTTGAGTCGCGGTTGGTTTGTCGTGGCTCGCCAGTGCTCTTCTCGTTGATCGTCTTCTCGTGGGTCGTCTCGGCATAGGACTCCTGAATAATTGACTGTCTCTTGGTCTTGATGAAGAATCTCCAGACAAGATATGTGGCGATTGCGATGACGACGAGACCGCCAATAACACCACCGACGATGGCACCCGTGTTGGGCTTGCTGCTTGATGAGGATGATGATTTGCTGTCGTCCTTGGCGCAGATGGCCTGGGCACAGGTGCTACATGTCGGGATGGTGAAGGAGCAGAACTCGTCGGACTTGCAGTTGGTAGGGCATGTCGGCGCCTTGTCCTCACACTTGAGGCAGCCGTTCTGTCTGGGCAGGATGACTGTGGAGGTCATGTCAGTAAATGAGGTTTGATAGGGGGCGACGGTGATGTCTAGTGACGCACCAGCTTCCAGCTCCTCGAGCGAACGGAGGTGAAGGTTAGGGTCGAATTGAGCCATGATGATGAATGACAAAATGGCCTGAGGATGAAGTGAGAAGAAAAAAATAGCCAGCGACGCTGATCGAGCTATGCCGATCGACGAAGCAAGACCGTTAGGCGTAGAAGGTGTCGATCAAATCGGAGGGGGTGATCAGACGGTCGAGGCGAGTGGACCGTTGGACGGTACCAGGGAAACCGCGAGTTGGGGAAACGGCAGTAGATATAACGAATGGATAGAAAAACCGTCGGGTAGATGAGACAAGTCGCAGTGTGCAAGGGGTTACGAATACACGTTGAGGAATGGATTCGTGGCGAGGCGAGGCTGGCGTGTGGGCGTTTGCTGGACTGGAATGGACGGATCGATGTGCGAAGTGCGAGGGAATTCGGAGCGGATAGAGTGAGAGCGAATAAGTAGTAGTAGTAGTAGTAGTAGTAGTAGTAGTCTAGTAGTTGGGATAACGAGTGGACGAAGAGACTAGCTCGGCATTTGAGGTGGTGGGAAAAAAGAGGCGACTAGGCGATTGAAGTGAAAGACATCAACGGCGGTTTGTCGTTTGTCGGCCGCAAGTCGACGTCGACGGGTTGACGGGGCTTGAATGTCTTTTGTCGTCGACGGGATCTTGTCTTGGTGGGCGGCGACGGAGAACCTGGAGATGTTGGGTGGAGGAAAAGACGGAGGTGGGAAAGGGCTGCTATGAAGAAAACGAAAGTGAGCAGAGAGAGAGAGAGAAGCAGGCAAAGACAGACCGGCGCTGGGCTGGTCTTGGCTCGACTTGGCTTGACTGGGGGGTCGAAGTGAAGGGAACGAACGGGATGAGGAGGGGGAGGGATGAATGGGCTGGGATGGGATGGATGGTAAGAAAGAGAGTGAGATGGGCTGCGTCCTGCTTGGGTTTGGTGCTGGTTCTTCACGGGCGTTCGGCGGCAGGCGGAGCGCAAGCTGAAAGGGGAGACGGGGGAACCAAGGACGAACACCAACAGTGGAGAGGCACCCGCACGAGAGAGTGGAGGTACATGCTCTCGTACCTTGCCTTAGGTAAGTACGGAGTACATAGATACGTACCGTTCAATGAGGGAAAGAGGTGGTGGACTGGCACGACTTCCGGGTTGGAAAAGGCGCAGGTGGGAGGAGACTGGACTGGAAGGCAAGAGGGGAGGGTGAGAGCGAATCTGCGGGACACAGGCACGAGATTGAGAGGGCAGGGGGTATGCTGTTAGCGAAACGTGAGGACCGGGGCAACTTCCTGCTCTCATTGGCCATGATCCCCAGATGGCAAGAGCAAAAGGGGGGGCACTGCTCGCTTGTGGATCCCTTGATTCCCCCGACACCCCTGGCTAGAGCCGGGCGAGGGTCCAAGACTCTCAGGGCAAGGCCTAGAGTCTGGACTGTGCAGCCCGCCCATCCACCACCATGAACCACAAGGACCATGGGAACTCCATCCATCAATCTCCTCCTCGCTGCATACTGCAAAGTGCCAACACTACCTTAACAAATATCGCGACCAACTCGACCAAGGCAGTAAAGTGCCCAGAAACCACTGCACCGTCCGCACCGCCATCGACCACCCAAGTACCTTGCGCAGTACCTAGTGTGGTACTATTCGGTGTGGTGCACGCTGCTCGTGACTTTGTGGACATTACCCTGCGCGCCATTTTCCATCTTTTTCTCACCTCGCCGGCCGCCCTCTACTATGTACCTACCTTACCAATCAGACCACGCCAGAGCCGGAATTGACCCATCTCCACCGTCTTACGCACTCTCCACGACTCGACAACACCATCTG